GTACTACAGAGAGTTGCAGAGATTTTATGAACCCCTTTCACAATTTTGAAGACTACTCTAAAATTGCTTATTTACTTGAGACCGTTTTGACACGAGGAACCAGACGAGTGTCTCCTCTGCAACATTCAAGTTCCTATTTTCAAAAGTATATTGGTCCAAGATCACCCCTTTTACAGCCTCCCACTTAAGAGCTACTTGAAGAATTAACGTGGCAGACTGCATACATTAAACTGGAAGCTCAAAGACAGAACAGCTTGCATGAAGACAGTTGCAGTATTTTCAACCCCCGTTGATCCCCAAGTATAAATTATGAACTTTTTTTTAAAGCAAAATGTTTATAAACAGATAATATTTTAAAAGGTTAATTTTTTTTTCTTTTTCTGTGCAGAATTAAAAATAGGAACAAAATAAACACAGAAGTTTTTGCTTTTGTCACACTGAGACCACAATTTCCACAGACATTCCTCTGGTGGGACACTGTTCCAAAAGTAAATATTGCATGGTTGCAGCACTAAGTGGAAGAGCATAACGTGCTGTGGAGACAATAACCCACAGAAATTTGGTAAAACAAAGTTCCCAACAAGGTCACCACAACTATGGCTGGCAAGAACATAAATTCTCAGTGTATAGAAGTCCATCTGAGATCTTTAACCCCAAACATCATGCAATCTGCAGGGTGTTTCTTCATCTAATTTAACTAGAATTTTACATTCAGCTAGAGCATAAACTGAGAAAAATAGCATAACCAAGGAAACCCTGAAACAGGGAACAGAGTCATCCTTTTCTAGTAAGGGAATTGCAATATTTTGGGAAACGTGGTTAATGTCTCTTAACACCAGCTGTACAAACAGCACCTGTAACAAAGCAACTGGGATGCTGCCAGAAAAATCCAGGCAGGTGATTCTGCTGAGAAAGGGACCCAAGAACATCTTTTCCCAGCACATGCCCTGCTGGCCCTGGGGTGTTTATGGTAGAGACACAACAGCCAAGGTTAAGCTTTTATTCTTTTATTGCTTTGGGGTTTTTAAGAGCTGACAGCAGCACAGCCCAGGTTTGTGAACAGGAGCCCTGATGGGTGAGTATTTCACACGTGTTGTTTCGTAACCCTGAGCACACCCAGCCCTGCCTGACAGTATAAATACAGCACAGAGCTCGGAGGGACAGAATTGCAAGCACAGACAGGGAAGCTGACCCAGCTGCAGCCATCCCCATTGCCCAGGCAGCCACATGCAAGCACTTCCATCCTTACAGCAGGAGTGCAGGAACGTGAAAAGGGAGGTGAGGAGATGCTCCTGCCATTGACTGGTGCCAGCCAATACCTGCTCTGGGAGTAATTCCCTCTAACTCTGCACAGGGAATGTTATGTAAAACGCTGCTGAAGGAAGATGTTTCCCTGCCTTCCCAGAGCCCAGTGACCGTGCACTGCAGAGAGCAGTTGGAGCTGAACTAACCAATAGTCCCTGGCACTGACTCAGAGGAGGAGCTCTGGTTCCTGCTCGCTGGCACAGATCAGACCAGTTTACAGAAAGGCAGCATTTTACAAATCTTTACATATGTAGCCAGAAACCTTTGTCAGTGAGATGCAATTATAGCTTGAAGACAATTCCTATGACAGAGAAGTGATGAGAGCACTAATGAAGGTGCCTTTCTGATGAATCAAGTTCTTCCTAAGTGTTTTTATTCATTCATTTGATCTCAGTACTGGAATTTTGCAACAGGAATTGGCTCGATCTCTTTCAAAACATAAAGGGCCTAATCCCTCCCATTAGAGAACAGGAAATCAGAAGCCAATCTTAGCACTGATTGAAAAAGGGAATCTGGATTGTTATTTTAACTTCTTTGCTGCAAATAAATGAGAAAATGTTTTTTTTTTCTGCCATTGCAGCACAATGGCTCAATTAAAAGCTGATTTCCCCCCAAAGTGGCACCTTTTTATACAAGAGCTCCTTTGCCCCAACTCTTCCCAGAGAGCAGCAGTGACACTGCCACGTCCCCCCATGGCTGTGTCTGTAACTCAGCACAGGAGCTGCACGGAGGTGTCACTGTGCTGTCCTGCTCTGCACAGTCTGACAAGGACATGTCTAACAATGTCTAGTGCAAAGACATTTTACACCTGCTCTAAGTACAGTCCAACAGAACTGGTTCACGTGGGAATAGGCTGTATTTTGTATTTTGACTTCTGCTCATGCCCACTTAAAAACTGCAAACTGTCTCAGCGTTGTGACAGCTGAAATCTTGACTTCTGGGCCTACAGCATCCCCTCCCTGAATGTTCCCATTTTCAAGTGTTCATTTTCTCAACACAGAACCAGTGTGACCTTTTTGGGGCTGCCAAAGCAGTTAATGCATCAGTCCAAGTCAGAAAGGGACTGGAGTAACTTCAAGCAGAGCTGCAGGTAAAATAAGCTGAACATACCCCCAAAGTCCTTAACATCAAATATTTTAGCACACGGCAGATTTTTTTATTTTCTCCATTATTAAGAAAATGGTTTGTAGCATTCAGCACTTGAAAATTAATGAGCTTTAAATATGAACATAGTACACCCCCAGTTTTGAAATACTCTGCTCTATTTTCTCTCCTCTCATCTTTCCCATCTGCTATGGCTGAGCATTAATTTAACAAATATTTTTCTTCAAGGCTGTCAGAAAAATCTCATAGCACTTTGGAAACACCAAACATTATCTTGTGAGGTAAATTAGGACACAAAGAAGTAGCGTGACATATATGTGATCACACATTGTCAGCGGCAAAGACAGTAACAGAAATTCCAATATGTGCTGCTTTGGAGTCCTCGAGAAGAGGAACTGCTAATATGTAGCAAAGAGTGAGGCTGACACCTACATCAAGTTACATTTGAAGGCTGATCTGCAAAAGTTAAAAAATGCAAAGTCTCAGTATAGGAAAGATTTCTTATTCCCATGATTTATTTTTGATAAGACACAGTTTGATGTCTTCTACACAGAGCAAAACAAACTCTACACAGCTCCTTACTCCTCCTGAGCTTTCTTCTCTCTGAGAATCAATCTATGGAGACTGCAGTCAGAAGGCTGGGATTCCACATCCACACTTTACACCAGCAGCCACTGGAAAGGACTTAAGTACAGGTCTCTCAGTCTAACTCATCAATAATTTCTGCTCATTACTGAGCTCAGCTGAACCAATAAAGTAACACAGAGAATGCTTCATATTCCACTACCAATTTCCCACTTCAATTTCTGAGACTCTACCCCAGGTACCAGGAAAAACTATTAGCCAGCACCTCAGCCCAGGCAAGACAGCAAACCCCACCTCAGATAAGCAGCTGTTGTTGTAGAGATTACAACATCAGGAGAAAGAAATACACAGTAAAAAGCCTCCAGAACAGTTATCTAACAAATGTGCGCTTTTTCTTCAAAAGAGATTTTTTGGAGGTTATGATTTTATAAGCCTTTGCCTGCAATTACACAAGGGTTAAAAATTACGCTAAAAATAAATATTTGACAAGATTTTCAGCCAATGACATTGAAAGAAAATTTCTAGCTTTAAGAAAATGCCAACTATCACAAGCTGCAAAACAGCAAGGGTTGCTAACATTCAGCTTTCTTCCATTGGGAGATACTGGTGTTTTCTTTAAACTCCACATGCTGAAGTTTTCTAAAATAGATTTCCTGTCCTTTCTCTAAGATTGCTGCACCCCATTCAGCCAGGGCACAGATAACATCTTTGAATAAAAAGATTTGAAATCACAGTTTCTCCCATACAAAGTTCAAGCTTTACAGCAGAAAAGCTTTTCTCCCACAGAGAAACTTCACAAGAGAAAGTTCCTTCCTCTGCTCTGTTCCCTCTGGAGGTTTTATATTCTTAGAACCCGTCACACTTACCCAGGCATGTTTGTAATTTATATTTAGTACAAGGTCCTTTCTTCTCAGCCCACCTCTGGATATTCCAAACACAAAGAGTGAATCCTGGTTACTCACTTTTCTCCTACGGATTAGATTCCTCTCCCAGTGTTACTGTGCACTGGAAGTGTTTATGAAACAAATCTCTGAATACCCAAAAAACCACAGTGAAAGATGAAAAAAAATTATAAGATTTTGAAATCTAATTGCAGAACACTAAGAAGATTTCCCTTACATTTAGAATGGCATCCTTGTTTAATTAGAAGAGGAAAAAATGTAGCTGAAATAAATACACACACTGTTCAGAGAGGGGCACTCAAACTTTTTTACCCTGTCTGATCAAGGCTACAGAGAGAAGATACCCAAGTTGGACACTATGATTACAATGTAAACTCACCTACAGATATTGTCAGGATAGTCTTAATTTTCCCGTGGCAAGAGATGCTGAAGGGGCACCTCTGCAGTGATGTCCCACAGAACAGGGGGAAGGGATGGACAGCCGCAAACAGATTTGGCACAACCACTTGGTTTCACTTCGAGTCAGTTAAAACCGGTTTGAAACATTACACAATTTCTCTGCTCATGTTTTCATCCACTCCTCCCAGAGGTACACGCGCCCTCAGCTGACACAAATGTTACCACAGTGCTCACTAACCATGGGGAGGGCAGACAGCGAGTCACACTGCAATAAACACCAGAGCAGCCACAGCAGAACGGGGCAGCTCAGAGATCTCTGCTATGGCATGAGACAACACCCAGCAATTTAAGATGGGTACATCTGCACTGCATGTGAGACTTGAATTTTTGGTTACAAATGGTTTCACACATACTCCTTCAGGTCACAAAACAGATTAACATTATTAGCATAATTATTAACGTTGAAACCACAACCAATGGTTTTCATCTACCATTTTTAATTGTAGAATCCACAGCAATAAATTACTCAGTGATGTTCCAAAACCATAAACACTTATATGTGCTGAACCATGGGTAAACACACTGATTTAAAAACAAACACGAGACAGTAGAGGGCCATAAACATCTGAGTGCTCCATATAAAATCCTGGACAGTTAACCCATAAACATATAAAGAGAAGGATGTAAATTTTCTAGTGAACAAACCTCTAGTTTATCAGCTTTGGCACAGATGTGGTTCCTCTCCAGCACCTTGTCTTTAATGAGTGGAATGGTCTCATCCAGAGTCTCTGACATATCACTTCTGATCTGCATGAAAAAAAAGTAACTCACATGAGGATGAAGCCTGAAGGTAAACATTACACTGTTTTTTTCATGTGAATACTTCAAAATACACCTATTCAGAAAGTTATCACAAGGGCCTAATATAATAAACATTTTCTTTTGTTACCTACTACAACCAAGCCTGTTTCTGGCATCCACAGGAGAGCCTGAACCTTATCTGAAGTCCTGCCAAGAGCTGTATTAGCAAGAATTACCCAATTTCCTATATAACACCTGCCAGTGCTTTGTTCAGTGGCAGCAAGATACATCTCCAAACAGCACTGCAGCTCTTGTAATGTACAGGCCAAAAGTGATGGATAGCCAAGAACTGAGAATAACTCTCTGAAGGGAAAGATAAAAGCAAAACCAAGAAAACCTCCCCAGAACACTCAAAAAGTTATTCTAACCTGTAAAACAGGGCAGCAACACTGACAAGAGAAATGAGAGGCAGTAGAGCCCACTTCTATACAAGCTTTCTTTCTCAGTTGCAGTGGAGTACAGGAGGTCTTGGTTAAAGCTGTGCTATGCTTTTCATAGACTTAAAGAATACAGAGGAATGAGGATCACTTCAGCTGAGATTTTTGTCCCAGTGACTGAGCTAGAAGATACTCTTCCCTTAACCTCATAGGAAAAAATAAAGATCTTTTAGCTAGAAAGGAGAGAACCTGGCATCGGGCTAATAGTGCAGGAAATTTTCTGGGCATTTTCAGATTTAATCTAGAAACCCAAATAAAGCATAAATGACTGCTGTAGGTCATTTAATCCATGGACCATGCTTTATAAACTCTAACAGGTACTTAGACATTTTACTGATGATCACGTCTCATTTGTGTGTGTTTTTTTTTAAAGAAGTCATCTTTTAAAACCTAAGTATAAATGAAGTAATATACATATAAAATTACTCATAGTAAGGTTTTATGGTACTTTTATTACCAGAATGAGTATATGCAGATCAAGTGTTTTTATAGTGCTCTAAGTGTTCTGCAACAGAAGATCAAACAGACATATCAAGCAGTAGCAGCTTTCTACTGCAAACAAACCAATAGTGTCTCCTGCACTCCTGGTCTCAGCACTGCAGCCACCAAATGTACACTGGCCACCTCCCCAGCAGTGACATGACTGCAGCCCCAGACACTCCCTGGGACCTTTACAGTACGTCCCTTGTGTCCAACAGGATCTCTGTCAATGGAGCCACACTGATATTTCCTAGTGTAAAATAAAATACAGAATTAACACATAACAGAGGAGATGAAGCAGATGGATTCCAGGTTTGTTCTGTTGAATTCATTTGGGTCCATGGTGGGCAGAAAAACTCTCCTCTATCATAAAGCACACGTGAAGAACAGATTGGTCGTCTGAGGTCAGGTTCATATTCAGGCAAACAAATCCAGGTTAAAATCTGAGCCTGGAATTTCCAGAGAGAAGGTACAAACTTACTTGCTCACACTGGTCTCAGAAAGGACCTGGAAAAAGCCACTCTTATCGTGAAATGCTACTGTAATGATTCTGATAACTAATGCAACTATGAACCAGAGTCTGGGGCTGAGCCAGAGCTCTGGTGCACAGAGCCAGTACAGAAACTACCACCACAATGTCAGAGCAGACATGGAACAAATTTAAACCATCTTTCTTCCAGGGTGAAAGAAAATGACCAATACAAGACACAAGAGAGCTGATCTGCCAGCAGCAGCCTGTGCTGAGGGGAAATGATATGCAAATATGATTCATGAAGAGCCGTTGTGCAGCAGTTTGCAGAACCACAGCGACAGCGAGTTCGAGAGGAGTCAGTGCATGACAAAGGAAAATTATTCTCCTGGTACAGCAACCTCTCATGAGCCAGAGAGAGCAGGACTGCCCTGAACCCCCAACTATAAAACAAGATTTATTTCCCCTTGTGCAATGTATTTTACTTTATCTTACCACAGATTTAGTCAAGTGCTCAGCATAAGCACCAGAGCATAGCAGTCCACGGGAAAAAAAGGATATTCCTCTTCCTAGACTTTACTGTGCTAACTGGAGGAGGGAAGGTTTGACTGAGCTTGGTCTTCTAACTCAAATCAGCAAGACCAAGCCCAGGGAGGTGGCAAACCAACAGCACTGAAGTCAGTCTGGAGGCAGCACCAGCAGAGTAAGAACAATGAATGAGAACACAAACCAGGGCCAGCATGCTGATGCAGGGCAGGCTAAACCACTTAACCAAGCACAGATTTCTGTTGTTTTATATTTTATAGAAACTCTTACTTTTTCAGGAAAAGGAAAAAAAAAGTAGTGAGAGCCAAAAGTGAAAGACACTGTGCAAATCCTAGTTGTCACAGGGACTTTTTGGAAAGGATTTATCTATATTCTTTCTCAGTCTTGGATCCCATGTTAACATAAAAGGCTCATAAGAAAAAGTAAGCACTGTAAACTGAACAGCTCAGCAGTGAGAAGAGAGAAGAGGTTTGTTTGGAAGAGGTTGGTTTGTTTGGAAGTGAGCAAACCCCAGACATAGTGACCCAAAAAAACCCTCTTCCTCTCTTTTCACAGTGATGACACCAGGTTTCACACACAGGGCCTCAGGGAGCAGGTTCTGAAAGCACCATGAGACAAAGATGAGCCGTCAGCAGCTGCTCTGGGGAACCATCATAAAGCAGGATTTATAAGTATATCATGGAGCAAGTTCTGCCCAAAGTTCAAGTGGCTTGAGAACCACTCCCCTGTGGTTCTGTAACTGTGAGTATGCTGGATGATCAAAACATGCATTAAAATAAAAAAAGTATCAATACAGGTAGATTTTGTTTCTACCTGTAAATCCTCTTCAAGGACCAAGGGCCAGAGAAATGGAAACAGGGAATTTCCACACTAAACCAGCTGTACATGTCTGAGTAGGTATCTTTTCCAATCTTGCTTTAAGGCACACAAGAAGCACAAAGAACCCTATCTCAAAAGGTAACCAGCACTGCCCCATGGAAACAACAGGAGAACAGCATATACAAGAGTCTGGGGTAGGAAAGGCTGGCAAAAGAAGTCTCACAAGAGGTTTAAAAGCTCACAGGATCCATCTGAACAAGCCAACCACCTTCCCTACACCAGAGTCAGAAATGTGAGGTGCGTGACTGGCCAACGGGAAAACGCGTGAGGAACATAAAAAAAAACTTAGCATAAGCTCCCAAACAGAAGAATTGAGTGAAGGAAGGTAATAGTAAATGAGACAGAACACAATCAGCAGTCAAGAGCTATTGATTCAAAGCCCTGGCTTTGAGCAGGTGATGCTGTATCACTGAAGCAATCACTACCTTTCAGGAATGAACTCAAGGGACTTTTGGCTGAAGAAACCAATCTCTTGTGTTCTACATTTTGCACAGACTAGATGTGCTGTACTCGAGAATCCAAAGACAAATCAAAAAATAGACTCTGAGGTTCACGTGCTCCTTTCCAGCTATTTTTGTCAAAAGATGAATGGAAAAAGAGCTGCTCCAGCAGCCACTAACACTGAGCCATTCTTACGAGGCAGCTCTTCTCTGAAGTCCCCTGCTAACCATGTGAGATGTGAGCAGCCAAGCTTTTGTTTCTTTCCACTCTATGTCATCTCCTCTGGAAGCAACAATGCCTCCTTTCCATGAGCAAGACATGCCCATGACAAAGCCAGAGACTGATAGAGGCTCGGATAGAAGTCAAAAATAGCTGAATAGCAACGCAGATCTCTTGCTCTGAATGGTTCACCCCCACAATTAGGCGGTGACAATGGTGAAAATAATCAGTGTGCTACAAATATTGTACCCCCCCACTCAGCTACTCCACCAGGATGAACTTCTACCTCCCATTCTGACCACAGGCTCTTGATGGGTACCACCAGCTTGTGCCATCGGTGGCTGTGCCTGTTGCCATAACACACATGAGCCAGGCAGAGCCACTGTCTCTGAATGCTGGGGCAGCACCGGAACAGCCTCCTCCGAAGGCTTCCTAACACCATGAGGAACCAGAGACGCCCACGGAGAATGCTGGTTGTTTACAGAATCCTAGAATAGTTGGGGTTGGAAGGGCCCTCTGGAGATCATGCAGTCCAACCCCTCCATCAAGGCAGGGTCACCCAGAGCAGGTGACACAGGAACATGTCCTAGTGGGTTTGGAATGTCTCCAGAGAGGGAGACTCCATTTCAGCCCTGGGGAGCTGTTCCAGGGCTCTGTCACCCTCATGGGAAGAATTTCTTCCTCAAGTTGAGGTGGAACTTGTTGTGTTTTAGTTTATGGCCATTGCTCCTCATCCTGTCACTGGGCACCACCAAAAAGAGTCTGGCACCTGCCTTGGAGATATCACAGAATATCATGAGTTGGGAGGGAACCACAAGGGTCATCCAGTACAACTCCTGGCCCTGCACAGACACCCCAACAATCCCACCCCGTCCATGAGAGCGTTGTCCAAACACTCCCTGAGCTCTGTCAGATTTGGGGCCGTGACCACTGCCCTGGGGAGCCTGTTCAGTGTCCGACTATCCTCTGGGGCAGAACAGTTTCCTGATATCCAGCTTAACCTTCCCCTGACACAGCTTCAGGCCATTCAGGTCCTGTCTCCACAGAGCAGGAATGGGTGCTGTCCCTCCACTTCCCCTCGTGAGGAAGCTGCAGACCCCGGTGAGGTCCGACCTCAGCCCCCCCTTCTCCGGGCTGAACACACCGAGAGCCCTCAGCCGCTCCTCATAAGGATGCTCTACACCCTCCCCTACCGTGGTTGCCCCCCGTGCTGTGTGTACTGGTGACTGCCCTCCCCGCGGGGGTGTGTTCGTGCCTGCCCTCCGCTCTCCGCGGGTGTCTGTGTGTGCCGGTGCCTCCCCTCACGCCTCTCCCCTCAGACCCTCCCGCCCGGCCCCGCGGGCGGCCGCGCGCGCCCCGGCGCCACCTGGCGGTCACTGCCCCGCAGCGCTGCCCGCGCCAAGATGGCGCCCCGCGCCCGCCCCGAGGGCCCCGCAGGGCCCGTCCGGCCTCCGCGCTGAGGTCTGAAACAAATCCCGCTGAACACACCTCAGCTGTGATGAAACTAGGGGGTGACAGGTGTTTCTTGGTCAAACTGTAATTGCACGGACACTTCAAAGCTGCATAAGCCGGCGCTGGTGATGGAAGCGTTCTGCTCATCCCATCACCATGTCCCTCGGCCAGCCCTGTGCACGTGAGGGGACACACAGTGGGATCAACCAGGAAACTCTGCTGGGTTGAAAACCGCCCGTTAATTCCTTTGCCGCCTCACTTTAGCCCAGCTGAGCTCTTCAGTCCATGGCACAGCCGTCTTCATGCCAGCACTGCCCAAGGGGAAGGGATGGGTTCAGTCTTCCAGGAGCAGTGATAACTTACCATGAAACTTCAGCCAAAGGCTCAACAGCACCACTTCTACATGGCATTTAATGTTCCACAGCTGATCCTCCTGTTTATTTAAGCAAAGAAAACAAAACAAAATTAAAACCATTACTTCATTTTGTAACTTGGAGGGGAACAGTCCGCAGCCTGGCTTTGAGGTCAGCTTTCCTTTCATGCTTTGGTTTGAGCACTATATACTGTGCCCATAGTAGTATCTCTTTCTCACCACTTCTTTAGATGTCTTTATTTCTCCACAGCCAATCTCCTCCCTCTTTACTCCACACCTGGAATAAGAGAAGTTTTTTTTACTCCCCACCATCACTCCTTTCATTTTGCCTCTGCATTGTGTTCCCATTCAACCTTATAACAATTTACCTGCTTTTCCCATGGATATTTTTAATATCAAGCTCTCTCCTTGATAAAAATATTTGGGTCAGGTATTTTATATGATCAACTGTTCAGGCCCACCAGACATGAATACGGTGTTCTAACATCACACTTTATGAAGGAACATGAAAAAAGAAAATCCAGCACTAAACCTCTTCTATGAAGTTTTCCAAAAAGCCTTTGTTGGGATTCACAGTGCTCTCCTAGCAAGTCATTAAGGTGAGAAGGCAGAAAAGTTTAAAAATAGCCAAAGCAGACAAGCACAGAGCTCTGTATAACCCTGGAGACTCCAGCAGGAACACTGAGTATTGCTGCAAATGAGCAGGGCTTCAGTATCATCTGGTCCCATGGCAGCTCCAGAATCCTGAACAAACCCTCCTGAGGACCCATAATCTGGGTCTGAGAGGGAGCAAGGAGTGGAATGCCAGGTGTATTTCCACAGTGAACTAACGTCTGTCCTAACTCTTTACAGGATACATTCACATCAGGCAGAATAATGTCACCCAGGAGAGGCTTGAGAGGCCAAGTCTTCTACTAGACTACACAAATATCTTATTTTGTATTCAGCAGTATTGTAGTCTTTTTTTCTTGGTACAACCGCTACACAAAACTAAACCTCATAATGAAAATTAGAAGTCATATGCTTGAGGAAATAGTTATTGCTAATTGAAAATTAAAAACTGCAAAATTAAGGCAACTCTCTGTGCAAAGGAATCCAAAAGCTCCATTCTGATTTCCATGGTGCTGAAATACATGACTGAGGTGAGCTGGCAGGGCCAGGCCCACCTGAAGAGACACTCAAGAAAACGCTGCCACAAAAGCTGTGATTAATTCCCAAGTAGGAAAACACCTAAATGACACTGCTGCTTTGAGCAGGCTACCAGTATAAGTGCTGAACACAAAACCAAAACACAGATCCCAGGCTTTGGATGTAAGCGGTCTGACTTCTTGCAAATCATTGACAACCACATATAAAGAAGGAATTGATGGAGAGATGGTTTTGGGGAAGGTATGGGGAAAAAAATTTCTCTCAGTGGTAAAACTGAACAAGTTTCCCTTTCTTTTTCTTGGCAACAAAAATAAATCACAACATTTTACTGTCAAAATGAAGGAAGGGGGCAAGGGAAGCTGTTTTAAAAGCTGGTTTAGAAGTATCTTTTATCTTAACAAGGGAAAACTTTAATCTGCCCAAAGAGGTGGGATAAGAGCTTTCTACAAGTCAGAAAGGGGAACACTCCCAAGTGCTCCCCACTTCAGGTTTTGGAGCCTTCCTCTCTTCTTTTGGGGTGGGAGAGCATCTCAGCCTGAAAAGGGCAACTTCAAACCCTCCCTCTTGCCTTCAGGGATCTGAAGTGTCCCCTGTCCCTTACCGGGACTGTGACAGTGCAAGACCCCGCTGTCACAGCATGGACTCACCGGCTGCACTCGGGGAATTGGCCACTCCTCGGACCCTCAAACCCAGCATTGTTCCGCTCAATCACAGCGGCGCTCAGAGCCCGCCCTCACTCACACACACCGGCAGGCTTGGTTTCCACAAACCAAATAACAACCACCAGCCAGAGTAATTAAGAAAAAAACAAAACAAAACAAAACAAAACCACGAAAAAACCTAAAAAACAAAAGCATGGAAATTCTTACTCTGCAGCTCAATTTTACCGAGCACCGCATCCCAGACGCGGGAGTCCTGCAGACTTGTCCCTGCTCGTCCCGAGGGAACATCAGCACCCCGCGCTGCCCACGGACCCACCGGGCACGGCCGGGACGGCTCCTCGCACAGCCCCGCCAGGGTTCGGGGAGGGGGCTCGGGAGCCTCCGCGGCTGCAGCGAGGCGAACTCGGGGGCTGCGGTGCCCGGCGGGGGCAGCGGGACCCAGTGGGACCGGGCCGGGCAGGGGAGGCTGCAGGGACCCGGTACAGCCCCGCCGGGATCCCCGGCTCTTCCCCGGCCGCAGCTGCAGCCTGCCCGCCCCGCCGGGGCAGCCTCTCGGTGCCCGCTGACGGACCGGTCCAGGCACCCACCTCCTCCCCGGGGGCTCGGGCAGCTCCGCCGAGCTCCTCAGCCCCCGCCCGGGGCTCCGGGGGCTCCTCCGGCCGCAGCACCCCCTAGTCCCGGCTGATCCCGGGCCCGGCTCCCGGCGGAGCGGGGCGGGCTCTGCGTCCAGTCTCAGTCACCAGGACATGAAAGGCTGCAGAGGAAAATGCAGCTTTAAGGTGCTCGGAATTTCTCCATTCCTGTTGGCGAGTATTGAAAGGACGTGAGGTCAGAGACGTTCAGCTCTAGATTATGCAGAGAAGAACTGACACACTGCTTGGGTCACAACAAGATCCTGCCCTTATCCCTTCCCTCCATCCTTTTCTCTTTCTTTTCCTTCTGCATTCCCTTCTGCCTTTCTACAATCTAGAGATCCACCTAAAGCATATTTGAAAGATAGTTAATAGCATTTCAACGTTTAATAAAAACACCTAAATTGTCTTTTGCAAGTAGTTTTTTTGCTTTAAGTTTTAGCTCATTTGTTCATGAGTTCGCAAAAAAACCCCTACTTTTCCAGTTTTACAGCACAGGACAGAAAGAGTATGAGAGGCAGGCTCAGTAACAAGGTTATTAGTGGATTTAAGCTATTAGGATGTGATTACAAAAAAAGCCATTATCAGTAACTGGGTGTTGCGGGTGCTCACATGAAAGCATTCTGGAGAAGCCACTGCACCACAGAAGACAAGAATCTTGGGCTCCCAAAGTAGAGGCAACAAATATGCTCTTCTAGACCTTCTTAAACATAACATCACAGAGCCTGAAACCAGCCTTTCACACTGATGAAATGCGAAGTATTTCCTTATACTACCAGGTAATTAAATAGTAGTTCAAGTGGGAAGGAATGTTATCTGGAAGGACAGGATATGATATCTTATTAGCAACACTTCTGAACCCTAAAAACTGCTGGTTCAATAGCACAGCACTTCTTCAATTGCTTTGTGCTTCATAGCTCTAAAGCACTTTTAAAATCAAGCACACAACATTTAGTCCTCAGAGACAAAATTATCTCCTATTTGAGTGGCAAAGTACACAAGTGATCATCGTAGCTGCACAAGGAGTCTGAATTCTTTTATCTTGGCTGCAATCTTGCCTCTCCAAGAACCAGCCATACCATTTCTTGCATACTTCTACAGCATCCAAGAACAATATTCTAACTGTCCGATACATTTTTCCTCATGTTAGCATTGGAAGCCATTTATGAAGCTACCTTAAAGCTGATTATTCTTCTACTACCACATACAACTACAATCCCAGTATCTGAGCATTGATACTTGTGTTGCAAAAGATGTGTGTTTGTCAGAAGTAATTCTGGCAAGTCTGAAACTAGAATGTCACTGCTAGTTTTAAGATAAAAACCTTCAAAGGTGTATTTAGTACTAGTCTAAATCTTTCTCCTGGTATACTGAGGAGAGGAGGATTTTCACTTTGTTACTCACGAAAATCCAGGGATGTCTTTTTATCTGTAACCATACATGAATTTTCAATTTCATAAAGTAACTCAAGTCCTAACACCTTGTTAAGAGCTTGTCACCTTGAGAGAAGTTAAATACTGCTGGTGTTTAAGGGTTGGATGTTATGGCAGTTAACAGCTGCATTCCTTCCTCGAGGAGGCAGCAGTAGGGAAAGTTAGTCTTCCTTTAAATTAGTTCCTCAGTTTAAGAAAACTACCTGTAGGTATTAGTGATTTCTAGAACTGGCATTGCTGCCCTGCCTGAGTGGGTACTTCAGTCTCAGCCCCTGGAAGTGTCCCAGCCCAGCTCCTGGACCGTGCCTCCTTTGCAGAGCCAGGCCTGTCAAGCTCCCTCTATCCTCACAGATCCAGGCATTCCTGAGGACACAGCTCCTGCAATAACCCAGCCCCTTGATTCCTAGTAGATTATACTTAGGACAAATTCTCCCATACATAGAACCTCACAGGAAGACATCAAAACCTTAATGGATACTTATGTTCCAGCTAAATGGCTTGTGCTCCTGCTGCAAAGAGCATGAGCTGCCTCAGTAGTGACCCCAGAGCCTGTGTCCTGAGCCAAGGAATGCTGGAGAGGGTGCA